GACCTATCTCAGCTTAAATTTTCATTGCTGTAAAACAGAGATAATAATCCCAAACCCTATAAGCTTACCATGAGAATTAGAACCAACAGATGCATAGACTTATTTCAGTGCTTGGCAGAACCTCATTGGCACTAAATAAAGAATGGTAGCTACTATACAGTCGCCTGTTTTTTAAGTCTTTGGGCTGGGTGAGGAGAATCACAAATTGGAACTGAAATTATTTACTGCCTTCTTTAGGTGAAAACTGAGCTACTGAACCACCACCTATGATATGTATATTGAGTCATTTTTTTCTAGTAGTTTGGATGATATTCAGCGATTTTAGTCATGGTCTCCTACCTGGTGTTCTCTGTGAAAAAAATGGATGGCCTTGTAGGTCAGGAATACAGGCAATGTTCACAGATTGGGGTATGATCAATTAGAAACAACTGGCTGAGTTAATATTCATCAGAGTACCATTTCTGCAAAACATCTAACGTGTAAATAGTAAAGCCTTCCTACCCATAGTCAATCCTGGCATCACCTGGGAGCTTCATATAATGCAAAATTTGAGGCCTATCCCCATCTACTAAATGGGAAGCTGCAATTTAACAAAATTCTTAGGTGATTCACATGCATCTTAAACTATGACAAGCACTGGTAAAGAACAGGCCATTTGCAGGGAAGATATAATCACCAGGTATATATATATCTCAGGTGGGAACTTTCTGTTGCACCTGCTTAATTAAAGCTGAGTAAGGTGGAATGATGGCGAGTCTAACTCTAATGACAGACTGACATATATAAATGTCCATAAGGACACACATTCACTGATAACTGGTTCTCATCTAGGGGTGATTTTGTGCCCTGCACCCCCCACCCTGCCAGGAGACACTGGGCAAATAATGTCTAGAGATATTTTTTGTTGTCACAACTGGGAAGGGCTGCTACTGGCATCTAGCGAGTCAAGACCACAGATGCTGCTAAACATCTTACAATGCACGGCACAGCCCCCCACAACAAAGAATAATTTGGCTCAAAATGCCAATAGTTCTGAGGTTAGAGAAACCCTAGCATAGATTATACAAACATCCCTGCATACAGGTGTCTTAATTGGAACTATTCATGAAAAAAGGAGCAATAATTTGACTACACAGCTCTGAGGGTGTGAATTTTGGATCTGGGCATTCTGCATCACAAAGTCTGTGCTGCTTTTAACACTGTGAGTACCCTGGTTAAAAGCTCTCAAAATCATTTATCTGCTTTTGCCAGCAAACCCAGAGTCAGTGATAATCTGTATCAGCATATAACGTCAGTCAGCATCAATGCCTAAAACCCATTATGAAGCAAAGAAAAATAATGGAAATAGAAAATTAAGGTACTATTTCATTTCAAACCCAATCCAACTGAAGAAGAAAGCAGGCTCAACTTTCTTGAGGACCCTCAACTCCACACCTTCCTTAATCCAAAGACACTAACAGTCTATACCTTCATTTTCAAACATCCACAATCCCTTGTCTGCAATTTTAAAAATATAAGAACACTTTTTTTTTCCCCTAAATTGTGGCAGAATTTCTTATCTGAACTCCTCTGGCAGCGAAGCCTGAAGAGATGTAAGGCTATTTATTATCTCAGTTATCGCATGGTTCACTGCAGAAGTATTAGGAGGTGGTGCCACAGGCTTGGTGGGAGCTGTTCTATATGACAGATGTTCTTTAGTGCCTTTCTAAAATTTGAAAAACTACAACTTCGAAAACATTTGGCTTCAAAAGTTTTGGATATGTAATTGTAGACCTCAAATGACTAAACTACAGTCAATAGCAAATATTTGCTAAAAGTTTTCATATATATTTGAAAGAAAAAAGATACACACACACACACACACACACACACACACACACACCTGCATTAGTAATTAGCAGTATAAAAATTAGCTTTCTTATTTCGGGCACTGTGTACAACCAGCCGGACTTGCAGCTTCAAATCTTATAAGGACTTGCTAACTTTGCACAGAAAATCTTTCTTCAAGTCCATAAACTAACCTCAATCTCAACCTTCAAATACTTCTGGATATACGACAAGAAATAGTGAATGATTTAGGGTAAGCCCTTTCACTCTACCAAAAGTGCTAATTCCAATTCAGTAGTATAATCAACCTCTCTCAATCTTTC